GGGGGAGAGGAGTGGGGGGAGGGGGAGAAGGGTGGGAGGAGGGGGAGAAGGGTGGGAGGAGGGGGAGGGAAATGGGAGGCTGGGAGGAGGTGGAAACTTGCTTTTTTTTCCTCCTTTTCTCAATAAAAAAAAAGTTAAAAAAATAAAATAAACAAAAACAAACCTCTTAAAAAAAAAAAAGAGCTCAGTAAGTGAAGGTACTTGCCACCTAGCCTGACAACCCAATTTGATCGCCAGAGCCCATGTGGAAAGAGAATCAACTCCATAAAATTGCCTTCTGACCTCTAGACAGGCATGTGCACCCATATATAAATATTCTGCGCTAATACACAAGCAATGCTCTTTTTAAACTCCTGCTTCAAACTCAGTTTACCTACCTTTGAAATGGGAATATTAAGAATTAAAAGGGTAATTCCTAAAAGGACATTTTAAAGGCACAATGCTGGTGGGGGGTAACTGAAATGAAGGAAGATGCTGCTGGGGCCATCACTACTGTTACAGTATACACTGACACAAAATAAACGCTAATATATTCTTTAACTCGGCGATAATGTTAGTAAAATTTAACACTTCATTAGTCTACATTTCTTTCAAGTAACAAAAAAGACCTACACAGTCTTCTAACACAGGAGTTACATGAATAAGTCTTCAAACCTGGGCAGCAGGATGGTTCAGGGGTAAGGCACTTGTCACACGCGCCTAACAGCCTGAGAGCAATCCCCAGAACCTAAGCTGCCTTCTGACCTCCACACAGCAATCTTCTCGGGTAAACTGAGCATGTGCACACGCACACACACGCACACACACACACACACACACACGCCCGCTGGCACACAAAATTCAAACAGACACCCTGACTTGATGCCATTCTAAGCCAGAATGGGAGTAGTGGGAATGTAGCTCAGTAGTAAAGTGTTTACCCAGCCCACATGAGGCTCTTGATTCAAGACTCAGCACTACACCGAAAATCAGAATCAAGCCAAAAACATATCCATGGAAGGAAGGAACGAAGGAAGGAAGAGCTAAGTTAAACCAGGATACATATTACTGTAATCAAAAGCAACATTTAATTCTTTACCTATCCTCAATGATGAATCATTCAACTAAAAGACTGTAACTTCCTCCTCCTTTCTGAGTATCTATTTCTTTTTCATTTCTGAGAGAATCTCAAGTAACCCCATGTCACTCTTAAACTGCTATGTAGCTGAAGCTAGCCTTGAACTGTCCCTCCTGCCTCCGCTCCCAAGAGCTGTGATTACAGGTGTGAGACAGACTACTCTCTCAGAACATATGTACACATATATTTTAAAAGTAGTTTTAGATTTATTTTATGTGTGCCATGCATCAGACATTACCTAATACCCATGGAGGTGAGAAAGGTCATCAGCCAGGACTTCCAACCACTGAGGCAACTCTCTAGCCCTATTTTTTTTTTTAAACCAGACTCATAAAGGCCAGACTGACCTCAAACTTGCTATGTAGCCCAGATAGCCCAGGCCAACTTTGAATTTCTGATCTTTCTGCTTCTGCTGCCAAAGTTCTGGGTTTACAGGTGTGTGTCACCACTCTTAACTTTTCATTCTTTTAAAACTTCCAGAAGCCGTTTAATAGAATGGTATTGTCAGAGGCAGTCATAATTGTTTGCCCAGCAAAGCGCACTGACAGCAATTAGAACAAGCTCAAAGGGAATGTCTCTAACAGTCACTTACATCTCAGAGTACCTGAGGCATTATCAGGAGTGCCTGCCCTCTGTTTAAAAGGTTCATCTCTGAACTGTTCATGTAGACACTCACAGCCTTTTTTCTCCCTGTCAATCCCTTTTACAGGTAGATGACCCTGACCAGCACTTCTATGCCAAGTACATGGCAGGAAAGCAGCCCAAACTCAATGTGTATAAAACTAAGCTTATCTCAGCCTTCCTGTGGCCCTGTGTCTTGTAAGTGGTATCACTCAACCGCACAAAATAAGATCTACTATTTTCCGAAATCTCTCTCTACCATCACTCTCTCTTCCAAGAACAAACCAGTCTAAAACAAAGACCTAATCATTTTATCACTCCAACACCACAAAATATCTACCACATCTCCATTACCATTGCCTCTGACCTACACCAACAGTCTCTATCAGCTGCTCGTGACTTCTCACGCCCAGTGGAAACCCGTCTACTCCAAACAATACAGATGAGCCCCCTCGGTACCCAACAGAGTATCCAGATTTTGAGAATTTGAAGATTCCCTCCATCCATTGATCTTGAAAGCACTAAAGCCGACTGGCCTTCAAGGCTAATACTGTTCTGGCTCCAATCAATAACTCTATAATAAAAACTGTTGCATTCCATCACTCTCGGGTGAATGTTCAAAATTCTAAATCCACTTCCTACCTCTACTTGGCACGGCACAGACCTCTCTGGTCTCCGGTCCCTCTAACCAGTCAAGATACTACTCATTCCCCATCTTGGCCTTTCAACCTCAGCCCTCAGGAACATCTCAACAGAAAGATGAATCTTAGTCTCACTTTGAAACAAGTTAACTTCTGTTGCTATCGTTCACCTCCACACTCATGCAAAATTACAACAGACTGATAACTGGACTTAAAATACAGTTCTTTAACTATATTTTAACTATATGATCTATTTCAGCCAGGCGGTAATGGAGCATGTCTTTAATCCCAAAGCTCAGGAGGCGGAGGCAGATGAATCTAGACTTCAAGGTTAGCCTGGTCTACAGAGCTAGTTCCAAGACAGCCACAGCTACTCAGAGAAACCCTGTCTCAGTGAGGGAAAAAAAATTATTTATTTTTATTTTGTGTATAAGTGTTCTGCCTGCATGTGTGCCTGGTGTCCTTGGAGGTCAGAAGAAGGTGCACGATTCCCTGAAACTTGAGTTACAAACAGCCATGAGCCACCATGTGGGTGCTGGGAATCAAATCCAGATCCTCTGCAAGAGCAATAAGTGCTCTTAACCACTGAGCCATCTCTCCAGCTCCATTATGGTATTTATATTCCCAAACTAAAAGATAAGTTCTGCAAGAACAAAATAAGATGAGTCTTGTTTATCACTGTATCTCACAGCCTAAAAGAGAAGTTAAGAGGTCATCTTGTCACTGTTCTCTGAGTCCCCTAGAAGACCTGACATTATCAACCAACAACTTAACATTCCAAACTTCTCCCTCACAACTGTCTTCTGCAGGGGCGCCGGCAAAACTCCATCCACCTTCTGGCCTCCACCACTCTGTCTGCATCTTTCTTTCTATCTGGATTCTTTTCCCCAGTTGCACATTTGCAAATCCTACTGAACCTCTCAAATGCCCAAGTTCAAAGTCACTTCCTCCTCCAAATCTTCTCTACTTAATCCTAGCAAGCCACACACTCTCTGCCCCTTCATTTCCAGAGGTGTTCCTGTACCCCTTTCAGGTCTCAGACCAGACAGCACTCACATGAGTGGTTTCTAACGAGCTGGTCAGAATCCTGCTTGTATTCTGTTGATAGCTACTGTCTAAAATTATCTCGCTCATCCCTTTTGCCTATCTTCTTGTCAACTGCCTGTCACCCTTCTGTAGAGCGTACGATCAATGGGAGCAAGAGCCCTATTTGTCATTGTTCACATTTCCTCGCTCTCCCATGTCAGATGGAGAACAGAGTCCATAAATACCTGCCAAAGATACGGACGACTCTAGTTCTTCTAACTTGGGAGTCTGTGTACATAAACTTCCCTTGCTGTATTCCTAACTTCTTGTGAACCACACCAAACTCTGGCAAATCTATCTACTTGTGTGTATTATCAAGAAATCCTGTCACAACAGAAGCAAGTAAGAGATAAATGCTAATTAATTAATAAGTGATCTCTCCAAGAGGTTCTGCCAGGCCAACTCGTAAATGTATGTTAAGGGGAGCGCTGGGCTAACAGGAATCTCCTCTCTGGACAGCCCGTTCCAATATGCCACCAACAGTGAGGACCCCAAAAACTAGTTTCTTCACTTCCCTTTGAACGTCAAACACTGGTATGTCTACCCTAAAATCTCACAATCCAGCCCTACCCTTCTGTTTCCACCCAACATGTCACTTCCACTACTGTGTTTCTAGGTGCTTACATCTCCAATCTCTTGGGATGATAAAGGTAGTACTGACGAACTGGCTTGCTCATCTTCTCCTTTATACCTGGTTTATCCTAAATAGACCGGTTTTCAGGGCCGGCTTTTATATTCTTCAGGACCCAAATCTAACCCACAGCAGAAACAAATGCCTCCAGAGTGTTCCCATTCCTTCTCAGTCTTCCACCACAGTAAGACCCCAAGGCGACAAACGAACGTCCCTCCCAAGAAGCAAGCGACCATCAAACACAGTGGGCAATTCCTATCCTACCGAGTTCGTGCCCCCCACCTGCCTTGGGCCTGGAACGTCGGACTGGGCCTGCACCCCTCACGCCCCGCACTCACCTGAAGCGGCCCCCGCAGTGCTGGCATTGCTCGCCCACCCAGCCCGCGGGGCAGACGCACTGCCCAGTGCCAGGGTTGCAGCGGCCGCCGTTGACACACGGCCGGTCACATTCCTTGGCCTCGGCTGCGGCCGAGCCTGACACCGCCGCCGCCACCGCCGCGGCCTCGGCCTCCCGGGGCAGCGGCAGCAGCAGTAGCGAAAAGAACAGCGGCAGCAGCAGCGGCGGGGGCAGCGCCCGCGACAGCACCCACTGGAGACACAACCCGGCGCGCGGCCCCGGCCTCCAGGCCCCAGTCGCGGCGCAGAGTCGGTGCTGCCCGACCTTCCTGCCCGCGGGCGCTGCTGTCGCCTCCGTGCTCCCCTTCAGCAGCGCCTCAGTCGCCGCCGCCGCCGCCGCCACCATCTTCCTGGGGCTGAGCCGGCGCCCAGCGAACACATACACACCCCGCACGCCGGCTCTGCTTCGCCTGGCCGTGCTGGGCGGGGCCGAGCGACGGTGGCCCGGCCAGTCCATACCCAGGGCGGGGCTCGGGCTACGCCGCGGGCGGGGGCGGAGCTGGCGTGCGCGATGGGCGGGGCCAGCGCCTCGTTCCTCGGGCTTGTGAAGTGTCAGATCTGACTCAGTCCCAGGGTCTTGGCGCGGCTGAACGCCTCTAGGGTAGCAGAGGGCCTTTTCTTTTCATGTCGCGCCACACCACAAGATAGCCAGTGCCTCCCTATGGCGGCTGCCTGTCTCTGCTACACAAGGTGACTGCGGTAAGTGTTACCCTTGGGATGCCTCCCGCCCATCAGCCGGTTGCCCCAACAACGTCTTGGTGAGAGACAGGGCCAAAAAGGCTGCCTAATGGTGTGGTATGTGCTAGCTACGACCCTGCAGAAGTAGTCCTGCATCCGAGTTTCTAAAATAGGGATAACGAAATGGCGCGTGTGTTAAGAACCTGGCATTTGAATAACTGTGTAACAAATGGAATGCACACACATCCAGGCCTCCCCTACCAGACCTATGTACACCTTTAATGACAGGGGAGAAGTGTGAGGTTGTCTTGTACCCCACGACCTACCCATATTCTCTGAAGAAAGAACAGCCCAGAATTACCTGGAGCACTGCCAGCTTGCACATCAGCTCCAGAGAGAGCCCTTCTTACTAACTTCAGTGCCCCACCCCTCTTCTCCCAACAGTATAACCTTGTGTGGTCCTCTACCCTGGAATCCACACTGGACCCTTGACTTCACTGAGCCGGCAGAAGGATGTAGTGAAGAGATAATGGGTCAGTTCCAGCTCTGACCTTAACTTTTTGTTGTTTGCTTTGGGTTTTTTTTTTTTTTCTGGAGATGCTCCTGCTCTTCCAGCTGGGAAAGATTCACGCAGAGGACAAGTGGAGAGGAAATGCCCCAGGCATTTGAACCTTGTGAGCCCTTCCTAACTGGAAGGTCAGTCATTTCGTGAAGAAGCCATCTGGGTTGTTTTAGCCATCTGTATTAGTCAGGGTTCTCTAAAGGAACAGAACGGATAGAATGAATATATCTATATACACGTTATATTATATTATGTATTAGGTTGATTAGGTTGGCTTACAGGATGCAGTCCTAGGATTCAATAGTGGTTGTCGCACACTAGAGAAGTTGAAAGTCTGGTAGTTGTTCGATCCACAAGCCTGGACTCAGCAGTCCCAATTTGGTGCTGGAGTCCTAGAGGAGTCTTTGAGAGCTGCGTCAGTCTACACTGGAATTCTAAAGAAGTCGGTTCTAATATTGGTGAGTTGATGCCTCAGGAACAGGGTAGATGAACTTGCCGCCAAAAGTGAGGGCAAGCAAGCAAAAGCAAAGTTTCCCTCTTCTGTGTCCTGTTATCTCAGCTGCCATGAGAGGCGCTGCCCAGATTTAGGGTGAGTCTTCTTGCTTCCGATAATCTGATTAAGACAATTCTTCACAGTTGGGTGGTGGTGGCACATACCTTTAATCCCAGCACTAGGGAGGCAAAGGCAGATGGATCTCTGTGAGTGTAAGTCCAGCATGGTCTAAAGAGTGACTTCCTGGACAATAAGGGCTACACAGAGAAACCCTCTGTCTTTAACAACAACAACAACAACAAAAAGTTCTAGTTGATTCCAGATGCAGTCCAGTTGACAAGATTATTCATTGTGCCTACATTATCTAAAATAGGAACAAATCTGGCCAGGCAGTGGTGGTGCATGCCTTTCATCCCAGATATATCTCTGTGAGTTCGAGGCCAGCCTGGTCTACAGAGCAAGTTCCAGGATAGATAGATACATAGATGGATAAAATAGGAACAAATCTCTCCTACTATGCCTAATCCAGTGATAAACCCTTTGCTATTTCAAGCCTGCTTTAAGGAGGTTAATCAGAACTTTGCCTCTTAACTCTTGGACTGTGCAGAATATACCTGTGCAGATACTTCGGAATTTGGACATCTGTTTCTGGGAAGGAAAGAAAACCTCAAATGCACCTATGGGAGCTTTCTGATTATCCTGAGGGTACAGGAGTCTAAGAACATCTTCTCAGACCTGCCCCAGTGTCAGGCTCAGGTCCTGACCTTCCCCTCTGGTAGAACTGAAGTACACAGCAGCCTCGCTCCAGCTCCAAACACTCGAGCACTGGGCAAGCACTGGACAAGCACAGGGTTCTAGACTTCACGTTTATCCGTCTCCTCTCCTCTTCCCACCTGCAGTGTCCTAGGTAAGGCTGTTTGGAAAGCGTTAGAAGGTGTGGCCTTGTTGGATGATGTGTGTCACTGGGAGGCTGGACTCTGAAGTTCCAAAAGCCCATGCCAGGCCCGGTCTCATGCTCTCTCTGCCTTCTCTCTCAGCTCCTGCCTGTGGACAGGGAAGTAAGTGCTTAGCTTCTGCTCCAGTACCACATCTGTCTGCCTGCCTGCCACCACACTTCCTGCCATGATGATCACGGATTCGCCCTCTGAAACTGTAATTAAGCCCCAATTAAATGCTTGCTTCTATAAGCTGCCTTGGTCATGTTGTTTTTACACAGCAGTGGAACAGTAACTAAGACAGGGCCCATTCTCATTCAAACCGCCACAGGACCTGTGAGCAGTGCTTACACAGATGGGTTAATTAATGCCTCTGCCACCTGGATTCTTCCTCTCCTGACACTGGATTAGTTTCCAGGAGACCAGGTTATTGTACAGTGAGTTCAGCTACCTTGGGTTTCTCTTGCTTCTCTCTGTATATACTCCCTTGCCTGCTTCTTTCCGCTGTAGGTTGACACACAAGGCTCTTAGTACATCATAATCAACCTTTTCCTTATTATTTTCCAACTTCAGATACTGTGTTTTGTTTTGGGTTTTTTGTTTGTTTGTTTGTTTACTTGCTTTTTGGGAGTTTTTTTTGGGGGGGAGGGGGGGTGGTCGAGACAGAATTTTTCTGTTTAGCCTTGGCTGGCCTTGAACTCACAGAGCTCCACCTGTCCCTGCCACCAGTACCCAGCCAGATATTGTTAATGACAACAGAAAATGGACTAAGACAATTAATTCCTCTAAAACTGGAGCCTGAAACATCATTTGAAGAAATGATTTATTAGGAGAATGCTATCGTAAGAAGCACAGTGAAAAATCAAGAAAGAGCCGGGCGGTGGTGGCGCACGCCTGTAATCCCAGCACTCGGGAGGCAGAGGCAGGCGGATCTCTGGGAGTTCGAGGTCAGCCTGGTCTACAAGAGCTAGTTCCGGGACAGGAACCAAAAGCTATGGAGAAACCCTGTCTCGAAAATAAAAAAAAAAAAAAAGATCAAGAAAGGTAGCCAAGCAAAGTTGTGGTCTTTCTTATTGGAGCTGAAATTCAGCCTGATCCTGAGGAGAACCTTGGAATTTGAATTGCGCCAGAGTTAAATCTACTTTGAAGTAATAGAGGGACACCCTGCCCCTATCTCATTAGGCAGACAACACTAACAATAAGAAGGAACCATATAAGAAAATTTGATAGGAGTGCTAATAATATAGTTGTTGTGTGTCTACTGAGTACAACACCTACAGTGAAGCAAGGCTTAATTGTTGCCCTATTAAGAGCTATCTGATTGGCAACCTGACTTTTCCCAAGCATCCCCAGACCTCTTTAGGCACTATTGAAAACATCAGTATATTTTGGTATTCCAAACATCACCTTATATTTTAGTTTATGTGAGGTTAGCTGGTTCTCTGACTGTAGATGTCATGGTTTCATCCAGCAGCTAACCAGTAGGTCCTGTGCGACCTCTGAAAGAGGCTGATCCTGAAAGTTTAGAAAATGCACACTGGGAAGGCTCTATATAGTAATGAGGCTCTGTTGGAAGCTCCACTGGGTATCCCATGTGAGGAATGAGTCGATTTATAGATGTAAGGTCCCAGCTAGTCCTTAGCAGACTCTAAAGAAACATTTTCAAAAGACCTCGATCTGCAAACATAGGGTCAGTCTCTGAGCTATTGGCAGAGTTCCCTCTGGACTCACAAGCAAGCCCTATAAGTACAGGAAATGACCTTTAGATATACTCAAGGGCTCACCAGGTTTTAAGATCCATCAGTTTAAAGTCAGAGGACTTGAAATTTCCTCCTCTCTGTAGTCCTTTGTTTTGTGGTGCTAGGGGCCAAACCCAGGACCTTGAGTGTGCTGTACAGTTACTCTGCCATTAAGGTACAGCCTAAGCCTAGAGTTGAAGTTTCTATTGGATGAGCTGGACTTGTGCCCCTCCTCCAAATTGCTGCAGCAGAGAACAAGTGGCTTTTCCTGCATATAGAATAGATATCACAAAAACAGCAATATTGTTGAAAGAGATAGTTTTTCTAAGTGTGTCTGTAAAGTAGAACATAATATCAGAAGTCCCCAGTTTTTCCATCATCTTGGTTCCCTATGGATGTCCAGGCAGGGAAGTGAACTGTGAAGAGATGAGAATGAAAACTCAGCTCAGATTGACTTCATCGAATTGGATCAAGACTTCAGGGAGTCTGATGGCATGCAGTTTATTCCCAACAAATTTAAACACAGTATAATTTGGAAAAAAAATGTTTCCTGGTGTAATACAAATCCCTGGTGCACAAAGAGGCATAATTACATCAAAACTCAACTCGGAGTACATGTCCTTTCCTTCCAGAAGTTGGCTTCTAGAGATAGCTTAAGGGCCTAGGGAAAGCACTGACCTGGTTTTAGTCATGCAGATAGGATAGAGGTCATTTGGGCTGTAAGCCATCTCTGATCCTGGTTGTAAAGTTTGGTATGGCCTGGCCCAACAGATAACACAGATCACCAGGCTGTTAATCTCTTCCAGTTCCTAGCTTTCTGGATGGAAGAAAATGTTTTTACATTTTTTCCCACTGGAAATCCTGGTTTCTCTGAAGATCTGTGGAGCAAGGACCTTCATGCTGTGCTCCCAATACCCGTGGAGGCCTTGCTGGTTCTAAGAGAGGTTTTTCAGAAGCAAAGAGAAAATATGGCTCTTCTTAAAATGAAGGAGTTAATGCTCAAGATGAACCTGAATTCTACTTAGGTGAGATGTGCATGTGTATAAAGCAAAGAAGAAGGAGGAGGAGAAGGGGAAGAAAAAGGGGAAGAGGAGGAGCGGGAAGGGGAAGAAGAAAAGACAAAAGATGAAGAAAGAAGAGGAAGGAAGGAAATGGAACAGATGTCAGGTTTCTTGGGCAATTCAGTAGAAAAGAGAGGGGCTCAAGGAAGGCACTGGATTTCTTCCTAACAAGCACAAATAGGTTTTCCTATCCCTAATGAAAGAAACAGGAGTTGATGCTACAGGCTGTGTTGCTTAACTATAGGCTATGTTCTGAGAAATGTGCTGTTAATGTGACTCCATCACTGTACAAACATCATGGACAGTACTTAACCAACCGAAACGGCAACACCATCACTGAGGTGATAAGATCTGTGGGTTCACTATATGATAGGTATGCCTATTATGTGGTGTGTGACCAATATAGTCCGCCAATGGTTTCTATCTTATTATATAAGAAGACAATAGAAAACTCAAGTAAGTTGGTCAGGAATAGAAGCGGGAATCACTTCTCAGCCTTTTCATTAGGATCAACTAGAGAAACAGAAGCTTGAAAAGATCACATGATCCAAGTTAGAGCTAGCTATCGATCTAAATATTGTGCTTTTTCAAAAAACAGTCCATAAATTCTTTGGCATCTCCTTTAAAAGTTAAAGAGCTGTGCACCTTAGGCTGCAGTGAAGGTAGGAGTACCATGGCTGGGAAGCTGTGCACATTAGCAGTGGTCTTGCATGCCCACATGCCCTTCACAGGGCCCAGGCCATGTTCCTGAAATCATAATCTTGTTTATAGCCCTGTTTCTCCCAGGGTTCCCTATACAAACGTTGTTGCTATCCAGCAGGTTCCCTGTGGTTTATGCAGCAGCTCCCTGGAGTAAACCCTACTTCCCAGCCCAGCTACACACTTAGCACTCCTTGAATAGCATCTAGTTCCCCCACCATTGTCCTCCGTGCCCACTCTTACCACAATGCCATATCCCAAGAAGGTAGTAGTGCAGGCATTTAATCCCACGACTCAGGAGGCAGAAAAAGGCAGACCTCTGTGATCTATATAAAAAATTCAAGGTCAGCCAGGACTACACAGGGAGACCCTGGGGAAGGAGGAGAAGGCTAGGGTTTGGATAGAATTCAGCTATGAACCCAGGCAAGTCAAGGCTAAAGGTGTTTGGAGGGAGGAAAGGGAAGGGGTAAATGATATAATTGCATTATAATCTCAAAATAAGTAAAATTAAAAGGCTGAAAGTTGTAAACAAGGTTCAATAAGGGCTGAAAGAAGAGACACCTAGAAGGTCTATAAGCAGAGTGTAGGCTTGGGCAGCTTTGAAATATGTGCCTCTAGTCTGGTCTGTCTTTGTATGCACTTTTTTCTCTTCTGGGAAGTTCTCACAGTCATCAGGCTTCAGGTTTTACCCATGCTGGCGTAGAAGCCAGGTAGATTTGATAGTAGTATAAGGTCTCCCAGAAAGGAGTCCAGAGGCAAGGATTCAAGTACAGCATGCGTTGTGTGTGATTCCAGGGAGCAGTTAGCGTGATAAGGAAATGAGATGGGAGGGAAAGGCAATTGCTACACGGTATACTATCGTGAGCCCACAAGTATTACACAGTAAACGCACAGCTGGCGGATCCATTGGACTATCCACAGGAAGTGTATACGTACATTCCACCCGGAGAACCCAGATTTTCAGAGCTACGGGCACACTTGTCCTTTGGATAAGTCACTATCCATCCTGTGAAATGTTGTGAAATCATGGCGTTTCTCCCTTCTGTAGTATCCCAGCAGTGTATAAACCTGATTTTTTTCTGTAGGGCAACCCAATACCTCCCCCCACACCATGAAGCCTTGATGTGAAAAGGATACAGTCAAGCCCTTGTTCTCACAGCCAAAATCTACATAAAAATAGTCCCCCACAGACTTTATTGACAGTGGTCACTAATGAGAAAGGAGCATCATACAGAAGGTAGTATGTCTGCACTAACAGCAGGCTCAGGAAGGTGTAGTCTACTGGTCTTCTGCTCTGACTTAACAGGTACTAATATTCTGTATTACCTTTACTTGGTTTCAACTAACATAGGATCATTGTAATGGGAAGCTGCTCATTCGTTCCCAGCAGCTCAGACCCGAAATAATCACACAGAAACTATATTATTCAAAACACTGCTTGGCCAATAGTTAAGTGTATTGTTAGCTAGCTCTTATATCTTTTTTTTTGTTTTGTTTTGTTTTGTTTTTCGAGACAGGGTTTCTCTGTAGCTTTGGAGCCTGTCCTGGAACTCCCTTTGTAGACGAGGCTGGCCTCGAACTCACAGAGATCCGCCTGCCTCTGCCTCCCGAGTGCTGGGATTACAGGCGTGCGCCACCACCGCCCGGCTAGCTCTTATATCTTAAATTAACCCATTTCTATTTTATATTTTACCACGAGTGTCGTGGTTTACCAGTAAAGTTCTTGGGGCACATCTGTCTCCTTC